CCCCCCCCCCCCCCCAAAATGCAGTAATCTGTTTTTCCCTCAGATTCTTCATTTCACACGTTATTATTATTATTATTATTATTATTATAATTATTATTATTATAAATTATGTGGTCCTCTGTTTGTAATTATTTTTTTATTTGCTAGAGCATCCTCACAAATCATTCTTCTTGCTTAAACAGTCTGAAAATCTTGCGTATAAGCCTACACTTCACACTCAAAGACAAAATACTCGAAGCGGCACAAAATAGCCGGTTTTTATGAAAGACATGTCCAAAACAACACGATCCCTGTCTGCCCTGAACTGGCGCAAACGGATCATGACCTCAGTCCACTAATAAAATATTCTATTCTATTCTGTATGTGAGAGGAGGCTGGCGGTCAACAATCAGAGTTATCACAAACTTGTTACGTTGTGAAACATGCCGAAACTAAAACATATTAGACTATATTTACGTCCATATGCCTATGAAATTATTTTCTATTCTATATTTTAGAGGAGGCTGTAGGGTCAAGACCCAAAGCATAGCATCTACAACATCATGTTACTTCCAAACGAACACAATGTTACACATAAAACAAGGACATCAATAAAGACTCACTTCAGTGTCTCATGATATCATGCGCTTTTCGCAACTCTCCCGTGATATAATATTTCTGCGACGTCTGATGTCTCGAAAGCCCTAGATGTTTAAAACGGAAAAAGATCTAATGCCGCATTCGTCAGTTACTTTCGGTTGTTTGGCTGTTCTCTATCAAATGTTCATGGCGACTCAAGAACATGCAACATTTTAGCCCTATAATATTTTGTATTCCGCGGAAAGCAACGCTGTCAAATTGTAAAGCATGATGTAAGTTATTTTAAGAGCACAGGTATAACACTTCTACAAACTCTTGCATATACTTGCACAAATTATCACATATCCCTGAACATATTTAGGAAAAAAAAAAATATATGACCGCAGTGATATTTTTAGGTCTAATGACGGAATATGTTACAACTGAAATGTATCTTTAAAATAAAAATTTAAAAAACTGGGAAACACACACACACACACACACACACACACACACCGTATATCTTGTCTTTGCACATATTTTCCAAGTTAATTGAAGTTACAATATCAATCCGTACTTTCTGTCAGATTAAAGCGGTTGTTTCCACCTAGTGGCCATCAAAAATAAAATAAATTAAAATAAATTAATTAAAATAAAAATCAAGCAATGTTTCTTGCCAGGAAATTCATCATATCAAATAATCATGAAATTAGTTTGAGCATAACTTGCTTGACGGTGTTCTGCAAAAGCTCAAGAGAAAGTCTTTATCTCTCATTATCTATTTCATTTTTTATCTCACTCCCTTCAAAAGATGGTCTCCTGCAATCTTTCGGATCACAGATCCATTAAATGTGAAATGATTGATTGATATTAAATTAGGACCTCGAGAGGTCAAATATAAATTACTGGTATTTTCTCAGATCAGAGATTAGGGGCTTGCACAAGCACTTTATATCGGTCATAAATTATATAAATATACCACAAAGTAAAGCACAACAGAAAATATGATCACAATACAAAATCAGCTATGTGGTCATTCATAAAAGCACAAGAGACTGTCTGTTATCCTAACTGTTTAGAAACAGACTGAGTGCTCATAGTATCTACTAGACATCAGAAATTAAAGTCCTAATGATAATTTGATTTATCATGAGGTTTAAATTAATATTGTAAAGTGTAAGTCATGACATCTGAACAGTAAATAAGTATATAGAACAGCTGAACCGTATCAGGCTCATGCTATTGTTTGCAAGGTAAAGACCTCCATCTAGTGTTCCAACAATGACCTGCAAGTCTGTGAATGACCTTAAAGAAGGGACAAGCACAACAACCTCACTGTTAAACTGACAACATATCCGAGGACCATTTTGTCATACTTGACTCGAGAACCTTTGATTGTCCTTTCAAATAGGGAACATCCGACCATCATTTTGCTACAAATTAAAAAAACAAAAAACTCTTGTATACTCTTACTTTGCATTCCAATGGAGTGCACAAATCTTTAAATATTAATGTTACCTAACATAATTAATCTTAATTAACATATTTAGGGAAAAAATATAAAAGTGCAACAACATTTTTGATGAGGCCTAATATTTTTCATGTTAGAACTGAAAAAACATCAAGCAATTTTTCTTGCCAGGAAATTCATAATTTCTGTGCTCTGTTGATATTATCATATTATTGTCATATTATTATGCAATATACTGTATTACTGTACTGTAACTGTTAGCTTACTACTGTTTTACTTTAAAATGTTTACTTTCTTTGTATGTATGCAATATCTGAACTTATCATAGACATTTAAAAAATAATAAAATTCTATATTCTTTTAAGCATTTTCTGTTTGTGCTTCAACTAACCAATCTCTTTAAAAATAAATCCTAAAGTCTGCTTGAAATATATCTTCTACTGTATATACCAATGTAACCAAATTATGAAAAACTGAGTGCATTCAACCCTGGAACCAACAACTGTGAAACATCATTGGTTTCCCTGTGTCTCGTCACCGACAGAAGCCCTACGATGGAGAAATTTGTCTGTAACCAGTAAAATATGTTGCAGTAGAGTCTGATAGGCAGTCTTCAGCTGCTATGAGTGGTGATAAATCTAACCTGAAATGCATGAAAGAAAAAGTTACACAGATGTACCATACTATGTATAATGTAAATACAGTATGTAAGCATCTTGCTAGCATCCAATCTGCTTTGTGCAACAGATATTATGGGTAATTTTTTAAACAAACAAGTCAATGTAAAGTCTATATATTTATAAACTAAGTCAATTGCCCATAAATTACATATGTAAGTTACTCCCACAACATTTTAACTTAATGATATTTTGGTTGTGTGTGTTCATATACGGCAGGGGTATCCAATCCTGCTCCTGAAGGGCCACTGTCCTGCAGAATTTAGCTCCAACCCCAATTAAACACATCTGAACCAGCTAACCAAGGTCGTACTAGGCATACTAGAAACTTCCAGGCAGGTGTGTTGAGGCAAGTTGGAGCTAAACTCTGCAAGACAGTGGCCCTCCAGGACAGAGTTTGGACACCCCAGATTTACAGTACATATAAATGTTTGATGTAGATGGTAGTTTGCACCCTGGGTGAATAAACAGAAGCATCAATCTACCTGAGCAACAGTAGAAAGTAAAAACAAATGTTTGTTTTTTTTACAGACAGGGTCACAAGGGAATCCAAACTGGTTTAGCTGGTAAAGCCTTTCAAAACATTCAAAGCATTATACAAATGAAGACGGATGCAGTTTTTGTTTTATCCAGCTGTATTTACTCAGTGCAACTTATAACACCCAAGTGAAAAATATAACACCAACATGCCAGAAAAAAATAAAAATAAATAAAAAACAGAATCACCGAGCTGGAAAAAGGACCACCCCCTTGTGTCATTATTTTGCTGAACCACCTTTTGCTTTAATTACAGCCTTTAGTCTGTTGGGATATTTCTCTACTAACTTTGCACATCTAGACTTTGCAATATTTGCCCACTCTTCTTTGCAGAACTGCTCAAGTTCAATTCAATTTGATGGTGAGCGTTTGTGGACTGAAGTCTTCAAGTCATTCCACAGTTTTTCAGTGGGGTTTAAGTCTGGGCTCTGACTAGGCCATGCAAGGACATTCACCTTTTTCTCCTTCAATCACTGTGTGGTCAGTTCTGCTGTGTGCTTTGGGTCATTGTCATGTTGGAAGGTAAACCTTCCTCCCATTAACAACTTTCTGGCAGAGGGCAGCAGATTTTCCTCAAGAATTTGACAGTATTTTGTCCCATCCATTTTTCCTTCCATCCTGACAAGTGCTCCAGTCCCTGCTCCAGTCCCCTCTACAAAATAGTGGATTACTCAGTAAATATATATCCATAACTTTTAATATGTTGCCTTTCATCACTATACATGTTTATCTTTTTTCAGAAAAAATATAAACAAAATCAGTAATCTGAACCGGGGACCTTTGGTTGAGTTGACACGGAATAACACAAAAAAATTGTATGCACAGCTTGTGTAGTTTTGTGCAGGTTATTTATGATTACTTTGATAAGCATGATTAACTAACTGCAGTCAAAACATGAAATATTCTTAATAATGACATAAAAAATTAACAATTATTAAAATCATTTAAGAAAGGACATTTGACTGATACAGAACCGTTCAAGTGATACTAGAACAGTTTTTGTGTAATAAGTGTGTAATATAGGTGTGATTTCTGCACTTTCTTTACTTCTTTCTATGCGATCAGCCTTAAAATGTACTCTTCAAATTTCAATAAATTTTTCATTCAAAAATTATAAGGGAAATTATATTGTATTCTTATTTTAACAAGCTTTGTAAAAAATGTTTACTACAGTTAATGCCAAAATCTTTTTTTTCTGGGGGTTTTTTTCTGCTGCAAACGCATACTGACATTTTCGCTTGGCCTAAAAGAAAATCAAACAAATGACTTGATTAACAAAAAAATAACCTCACACGGTAAATATTTGAATATATGAACATAAACAGCAAAATGCACCTCTTGTATTTCAGTGAAAAATAATTTCTCTGATCACAAAAAAGGACAGCTGTCTTGTTTAAACCTAAAAGATTTAAACCTAAAATGACAGCATTGACTGCAATCATGTAATATACTACAATACACAACAAACCCTACAAATTAGAAATCAAACTTTTTTGTGGTACAAAAGAAATTAAACCAAAGTTTTTAGACCAAAACATCTGTATAACAGGTCTGAATATAGGTGTGATCTGTCCAAACACCTCCTTCCTGCAGCCTATGATTTTATAATCAGCACATAAATCTACAGGTGGCCTACAGACTGTCCCTTCAGAGGACTTTCTTTCACTATCTGAGCCTGATAACTCAAGTTTGAGGGGGTCTGGTCCGTACTTGAAAGGAAGTCAAAACAAAGGCTGTGAATCTTTAAAGTAGATATTTTTATATATATTTATTTTAGGCTTGTTTTAATAGGGGTATAAGTTACAAAGCAATAAGTTACAAATTTAGTCATTCAGTGCACAGCATAAATGAGTACACTCTGAATAATTACAAAAAACGTATTTTCTTAATGATCACTAATACAATTCATTTAAAGATGGCAAAATTGAAATGTATTAAACATTAATTTAACATACTTTTAAGTATAGTGCTCTGACCCTTCTTGGCACTGAGTGTACAAGTTCATGACAAATTGTCACATCTGTCCTGTTTAACTCCTGGAGGACGACCTGACCTCCTTAAATGCCCTGGTCAACTCGTCTCCACAGAATCCCCCAAAGGTGCTCAAGAGTGTTAAGACTGGGTGAAATACACGTCCACTGAAGGATTTTCACCTTGGGAGAATGTATATAGTCATTGTCATGTTGAAAAAATGCTCAATAACGCAGGGAATGAGGACAGGGTAGCATCTTCTGTTTCAAGTTTTTGTATTACCTCACACAGTGGTGTGTGAATTCATGACAGCATTGATAAAGCACAACTCCCTCACACCTTCAGCACTCATACATTCCTATATAAGAGCTTTACTACCACTGAACTTCACTGTGGGAACCAGGCACTTCTCACAGTACTCCTCCTCTGGCAACACCATAACATTTTGGATGCTTTTAGATCCGAAATGATGGACTTGGTCTCATGAGACCATATGGATTCACAGAAGTCTATACTTTGTAAATATGGACCTTGGAAAAGGTTAGTTGAGTTTATTGTGCTACAGTATGGGTAGTTCCAGTGTGGACAACAAACATGCATGTCACTTCAGCAGGCTGCATCTTACTCTGTGAGATAAACAGTCACTCTTTTCATAGCTTTTGCCGGCTCTGAGACACTTGTTTGGTATTTCTCCTGCTCTTTTTCTAGCAAAAAAAATCACTCATCACTAAATTAAAGCTTAAAGTGAAGGCCTGATTATTTAAGGGGCCATGTCACAAGTCAATTGTTTTTGAATTTCTGTGTTACTTTTGCTATATTTTCACACTTAAAATAAAGATTTGGTATTCCTCTTGTACCACTGTCCTCTTTTGTGCTAAGAAGTCTCCGGACAGTTAAATCCCAATCGGTTCCACTGTTGTCAGCATCAAGTCTGAGAATGATTCAGTGGGCTATTTAACACTTTTAATTTTCAAGAAATTATGTTCTGGAACAGTGTTGTAAATACAACTTAACCACTGATTTCTAGTCGTGTCCTCTTTTGGAAGGCCAAACAAAGTAGTTTCCCTCAACTTTTGTTACCCCTAAAGGATTCATAATATAGTGTAGTAATAGTAAGGTAGTAATTCTTATGGTAGATACTATTATGAATCCTATAGGGGTAAAGGGGATGAAAAGGATTCTTTTTGAGGTTACTGCCCCAGTGACAAGCTGTTGTACCCCTGATGGTCCCATTTTTGCACTTTTTTTTCTGACGGGGTAACCACAACATTTGTAGCTTTGATGATATGTTAAAAAAATTATGAGCGTTAAATATTCCCTCCCTAAAAGTAATAGGCTAATTCACACCGTTCTCTACTTCACCTGAATCTGTATCATCATTTACCTGTTTGTCCGGTGTTGCTCTATTCCTGTCCATCCACTTCTCTTGCGGACAACCTGATCACTACACCGACACTCAACACCGAGGAGGCTGCAGATCCACGGCCCAGGCAGTTTTATTAATAACCGTCCTGTCCATAGACATTGACTAATTTAGTTTTTTGTGTGTGTGTGTGTGTGTGTGTGTGTGAATTTAAATATAAACATTACATTAAGATATCAGATGATCTGCACTACGAATTCAAATATCTGTAAATATTTACACATACATAGCCTACAGAAGACAACTGAATTAGTGTTTTTGAAAAAAATAATACATTAACATTACACATGTAATTAGTGAATTAAAAAAATAATTATACACATATTTGGATCAAATGGACAATGTAATGATACCTGATCTACTGTAGCCTAATTATATTCACTGTAGGTTTTCATATATACAGGAGATTGAGTGATATATATGTTGTTGTGAATTTATATATAAAGATACATTCAGATATTAACCATATTTAGCCCATCAGACATACAGTGTAATCATATGGACCATCAATTAAATATTGATTTAATACTGATTTATGCTTTAGTATTCACTAATGGTTGTCATACAGCAACAGAACAGTGTCCTATAAAGCATTTTATAAAGACAAACACAATTCACCCTTTTCTAAAATTCCAAGGGCCATTTAGCCATCTGAGAAGAAAGAGACAACATTTTTGTGTACGAAAATATTATTTATTAACACCATTTATTAAAAACATGAACTAGGGTGACTCCCGTTGATGACTCTCTATTAATTGTTGTTCAGTCCTCCTGTCAAAATGCTCCCGCTCACTGATAAGAAAACAAAAGTTGGATAGTTGTAGAAAGAAATGGTTATTTGTGAATAATGGCAGGATGTCATGTTTGACCATGTTTTCCTTTATAGTATCCTTACAGTAGTATTACAGTATGACCTTATGTAAATGACAGGTCCTCGCAGAAATTTCTACTCAGCCTTTAGGATGGACAGATTTTCCACAAAAGCCAGGGCACAGATAATGGACTACCAGAGAAAGAATTGAGATTGATCACACACCCCAAGTAGCCAAGTATCATTTCACATGTTTAGCTTTTTCCAACAAAATGAAAAGTGTCTCTTCTATAATAACCACAAAAAACATTATTTTTAGAGCAATGGTCTCACATTATGGATAAACTATTTGACATTTAAAACAATATGAATCTGACATCATGCAGAGCACAGCTAACACATGAGACCTACCTCTGTAAAAAGTACATCCATGAATTTGATCTGGTCACTGTGGGTGTGCTGTCCAGAATTGAAGTCAGGTGAGAGTGGATTGCATCTGTGTGTGTGTGTGTGTGTGTGTGTGAATTTAAATATAAACATTACATTAAGATATCAGATGATCTGCACTACGAATTCAAATATCTGTAAATATTTACACATACATAGCCTACAGAAGACAACTGAATTAGTGTTTTTGAAAAAAATAATACATTAACATTACACATGTAATTAGTGAATTAAAAAAATAATTATACACATATTTGGATCAAATGGACAATGTAATGATACATGATCTACTGTAGCCTAATTATATTCACTGTAGGTTTTCATATATACAGGAGATTGAGTGATATATATGTTGTTGTGAATTTAATATATGAGATACATTCAGATATTAACCATATTTAGCCCATCAGACATACAGTGTAATCATATGGACCATCAATTAAATATTGATTTAATACTGATTTATGCTTTAGTATTCACTAATGGTTGTCATACAGCAACAGAACAGTGTCCTATAAAGCATTTTATAAAGACAAACACAATTCACCCTTTTCTAAAATTCCAAGGGCCATTTAGCCATCTGAGAAGAAAGAGACAACTTTTTTTGTGTACAAAAATATTATTTATTAACACCATTTATTCAAAACATGAACTAGGGTGACTCCCGTTGATGACTCTCTATTAATTGTTGTCCAGTCCTCCTGTCAAAATGCTCCCGCTCACTGATAAGAAAACAAAAGTTGGATAGTTGTAGAAAGAAATGGTTATTTGTGATTTACTTCTGACTTATGGTAGATGTCAAATAGTATGATTTATGCATTCAATACTCACTGGAGAGTAGGCTAGAGGATTGTGGCAATAACATGCATGTTGGCAGTGTACATGTCTTTGCCCTGTGAGAGTAAAAAGAAAAACTAAGCAGGCTACCACTTGCCATTCAAATATGAAATTAAGAAACTCTCAAGTCTCAAAGTTTCAAATAAACTACAGCTGATATAAAATAATGTGAAAAAGATTTATGCGTGTGCTCAAACCTCTTCATAGACGAGTTTCATGCAGGCATTTCCCATCTGCAAGAGAAACAATCAAAATAGCTAGCACACACACAAAAGTCTAAGCTCTTTAAACAAAGAAAACAAATAGCATAACGTTACGTGCAAATGTTACTACTTACATCTACCTGACCATCAAAAAGTACATTTATAGACATTTTTAGACTTTAATACGACTATAGACATTTATATCTATTAATATATTAAAATTAATTGACATCTACTCTTAGCTAATCATTTAACTATAAATGTTGCAACGTTACACGTTTGCTGAACAATAATAACTTTAGCGAATATTTAACATACCTCTTATTCGTGTCGCTTCTGTTCTGATGGCTCATACTGTACAGCCTCCCCCTACTGGACGCATCAGGAACAACAGGGGCGTAAAACGGCCTGGGCCGTAGATCTGCCTGCTCCAGGTCTGACTCTGCAGCCTCCCACTCATCCTTCACACTCGTGGCGCTAGGTGAGCGGCTCGCGACAAGCCTCTCTGAAACAACACACGCAGCTGGCCGGTACAAAATAGCTTAACAACCCACAAAACCGTAACAAAATACATAGACCTATAGCGCTTTGAAAGCGCGCAAACAATCAGAAACACATTGACTAACCGTTAAAGTTAAGAATAAGAAGACCCATCAGCCGCGCAGCTGACGCTAACGCATGCGCACATCAGCGCGAAGGAAATACGGCACCATAGCCTACTAAAAACTGCAGAAACAAATAAAGTGGCCACAAATGCTGCTACCGAAATAAAACTATAAACACTATAATTCATTTAGTCTTTAATTAGTTGTGTGTTCTTGTGAACACCTAAATACCCTGCAAAAATTAGTCATTTTTCAATTATGTTGAGGCATAGCTCACTACTTAAGGAGATATTTAAAGAAATTTCATAATTCTGAAAGATAGCAAGATACTAAGATACATGGTACTGTTGTGATATTGTACAATGTCCACTGATAATAAAAATTATTTTGATATAATGTATGATGAAAGCATGCAAAATGCTTAAAATCATGTATCAAGATTAATGCAATTTTCATTTAAACCCAAAGATAACCGAAGAGGAGAATGTTATAATTCTACTGGTATTAAAGGAATAGTTCACTAAAAAATTTGCTGAAAATGGACTCACCCTCAGTACAACCTAATGAGTTTGTTTCTTTATCTGAACAGGTTTGGAGAAATGTGCATTACATCACTTGCTCACCAGTGGATCCTCTGCTGTAAATGGGTGCCATCAGAATCCAAACAGCTGATAAAAACATCACAATAATCCACATGACTCTAGTCCATCGATTAATGTCTTGTGATGTTAAAAGCTGCATGTTTGTAAGAAACAAACTTTTAACTTTAACCCGTAACTTCTGCCAAAATACGAGTCCATAATCCATAATAACACTTGCAGTAAAAAAGGCCATCCTCTGTTGTCCTTTCACATCAAAATCCATCAACATATTTGTTTAGAACTGTTTTAATTTGTGAAGGGTGGTTGATCTGTGTATATTTCTCTCCTGATTCAGAGATGAGACAACATTTTTACTGGAGAAAGCAATATTATGAGTTGGTAGCAATGGTTTGAAGTTAAACTAGTCTTAATAATGGATTCAGTTCTTACAAACACACAGCTTTTCACTTTACTAGACATTGATGGCCTGGAGTCGTGTGGATTACTTGTGCATTATTGTGATGTTTTCATCAGCTGTTTGGACCACTGATCTATAATACATAACTGTGTAGATTTGGACTCTCATTCTGACGGCACCCATTCACTGCAGAGGATCCACTGATGAGCAAGTGATGTAATGCTACATTTCTCCAAATTTGTTCCAATGAAGAAACAAGCTCATTTACATCTTGGATGGCCTGAGGGTAAGTAAAATTTCTACTAATTTTAATTTTTGGGTGAACTATTCCTTTAAGAATGTGTAGGGTTTTTTTTATAGCTCTGAAGAGTTACAGCACAGCATTTAGGTTAATATAAATTTAAATTCCTACGATGAAATTGTTCCTGCGGTGGAACAATACATTATTTTGACTTGCTGTCTAGGTCGGATCTATAGGCAGCTCAATAGGTTTTGAGAGACAGCAAAATAAAAAGTAACCATGGCACAAATCCTCATATTTTGTAAGACTGATTCGTAATGTCTTTTCCTCTGTGTTAGTCACTGCTTCCAGCATTTTCCGTAAACCGATGCTGTGCATAGACGTCAGGACAGATAGAGGGAGTGAGAAAGAGGACATTTTGTAAAGAGAGAGAGAGAGAGAGAGAGAGAGAGAGAGAGAGAGAGAGCGAGAGAGAGAGAGAGCGAGCGATCAGAGGAGGAGGAGACACAAATACCTATGCAAGTGTCCAGTGTTGAAACGCAGGCCTTCTCGTTCATATTCAATATAACTTTCTTTCTCGTCAGGTTTATTATCTGTCGGACAGCTGGGATTCTGTTGGTCCATTTTAACGGCTTGTTTTGTTCGTTTCCGTTTCTGTCTCGTCGGATTTCTGGTGGATTTTCAGTGTCTGGCTAGCGAGCACAGCTAACCGCAGCTAGCCGGATCAATCTGTTTCCTCGGCCTCAGGAGCCCATTACACACACAAAATGGCATTAAAACGAATTCACAAGGTAAAATATTATATTTTATGTTATTTTTTTTACATTCACTAGCAAAACCGTTTGGGTTTTTGCTTGGTATGTAAAAGATATAACGTTAGACGTTAGCAAATGCTATGAGGATAGCAGGCTTGGTTGTGAAGCTTGGCTGTTTTTGTTTTATAATAATAATATTTATTAATTGTGTTGCTGTTTTTGTTATTATTTATTTATTTTAATGTTGTTTGTTGTGTTATTGTTTCCTTAAAATGCCAATGCTGACGTTGTTATTATCTATCTATCTATCTACATGGTTTTATATCATCTATGTTTTTATCTATCTATCTATCTATCTATCTATCTATCTACATGTAACACCCATAATAGCAGGTGCTACATTGTAATACATAGTTTTACATCATTTCAATCTAAAATAACTATTTACAACATGTCTTGTATTAAAAAGGTGGAAATACTGGAATCAGAATTTACAAGGTGGATAAGGAGGATTTTATGTGGATGTGTTTCCTCTATGAATCACATTTCTGGTGGTGTGGATTCAGATGAATACTATTTCTGAATCATCTCAGCCACAGACATTACTGGTTGGGAGAGGATTTGCCTTAACTGGTTTAGAGCTAACACTGGCTTCTTAGTTCTTATGGGTTACTATTATTATCCTTTGTATTAGTGACATTCTTTCATTTTGGTAAATGCAAGAACTTTGCGTCATTGCTGTAAGTTCTTCCTGGAAAGCTACGAGTGCTCAATACTCCAGTTAGAAGTATCCGGCCCATACCAGTGTTAAGTAGGCTAGTTGCGCAATAGTTGTTGAACTTGGTGACAGGATGATTTTCCCCTTTTCTGCTGACTTTGAGAGCTTCTATGAACTAGATTGACACAGCAGATTGTTTGTGGGCTGACAGCCAAATACTTAGTTGGTCCCACATTCTGTGGCTTGCTACTCCCATATCAAGCAGTTTTCAGGGCTTTGGCTTGTTTAATAGGGATATGTGAAGTATGGCAGCAACTGAAAATTGAGCTGAGAATTTTAGGACAGCAAATGCCAAGTGGGCGCACACAGATGTCTGGTTGAAAATACCAGCCATGTATCTCTCAAGTGATGGCAAGGCTGGTTTATTCCCGACACCCTCATCTGAAGTATGCAGGCGTAAAAATAGCTGCCACTGTTAGTGCACACTGTCCTATATTGGTTAGCTGAATTGCTGTCATACATTGATTCTCGCGAAGGCTCACCTCCACCTGCGTCATCCATTCTGCTTTGATTAATTATGACAGAGAATGAAATTAACTGTACTTCTTGAGACACTTGCAATTTGGTTGTTTGAGTGTTATTTGTTTAGGACATATTATAAAGAGAGAGAGAGAGAGAGAGAGAGAGAGAGAGAGAGAGAGAGCGAGAGAGAGAGAGAGCGAGCGATCAGAGGAGGAGGAGACACAAATACCTATGCAAGTGTCCAGTGTTGAAACGCAGGCCTTCTCGTTCATATTCAATATAACTTTCTTTCTCGTCAGGTTTATTATCTGTCGGACAGCTGGGATTCTGTTGGTCCATTTTAACGGCTTGTTTTGTTCGTTTCCGTTTCTGTCTCGTCGGATTTCTGGTGGATTTTCAGTGTCTGGCTAGCGAGCACAGCTAACCGCAGCTAGCCGGATCAATCTGTTTCCTCGGCCTCAGGAGCCCATTACACACACAAAATGGCATTAAAACGAATTCACAAGGTAAAATATTATATTTTATGTTATTTTTTTTACATTCACTAGCAAAACCGTTTGGGTTTTTGCTTGGTATGTAAAAGATATAACGTTAGACGTTAGCAAATGCTATGAGGATAGCAGGCTTGGTTGTGAAGCTTGGCTGTTTTTGTTTTATAATAATAATATTTATTAATTGTGTTGCTGTTTTTGTTATTATTTATTTATTTTAATGTTGTTTGTTGTGTTATTGTTTCCTTAAAATGCCAATGCTGACGTTGTTATTATCTATCTATCTATCTACATGGTTTTATATCATCTATGTTTTTATCTATCTATCTATCTATCTATCTATCTATCTACATGTAACACCCATAATAGCAGGTGCTACATTGTAATACATAGTTTTACATCATTTCAATCTAAAATAACTATTTACAACATGTCTTGTATTAAAAAGGTGGAAATACTGGAATCAGAATTTACAAGGTGGATAAGGAGGATTTTATGTGGATGTGTTTCCTCTATGAATCACATTTCTGGTGGTGTGGATTCAGATGAATACTATTTCTGAATCATCTCAGCCACAGACATTACTGGTTGGGAGAGGATTTGCCTTAACTGGTTTAGAGCTAACACTGGCTTCTTAGTTCTTATGGGTTACTATTATTATCCTTTGTATTAGTGACATTCTTTCATTTTGGTAAATGCAAGAACTTTGCGTCATTGCTGTAAGTTCTTCCTGGAAAGCTACGAGTGCTCAATACTCCAGTTAGAAGTATCCGGCCCATACCAGTGTTAAGTAGGCTAGTTGCGCAATAGTTGTTGAACTTGGTGACAGGATGATTTTCCCCTTTTCTGCTGACTTTGAGAGCTTCTATGAACTAGATTGACACAGCAGATTGTTTGTGGGCTGACAGCCAAATACTTAGTTGGTCCCACATTCTGTGGCTTGCTACTCCCATATCAAGCAGTTTTCAGGGCTTTGGCTTGTTTAATAGGGATATGTGAAGTATGGCAGCAACTGAAAATTGAGCTGAGAATTTTAGGACAGCAAATGCCAAGTGGGCGCACACAGATGTCTGGTTGAAAATACCAGCCATGTATCTCTCAAGTGA